CCAAAACCCATTCGTAGAAAATTGTGTTTGGCTGACTTTGAATAACAAATAGAAAGGGATTTTCTCCCGACACGGCTCGTCTACTTCGATATTCCATCTAAAGAAGTCTTGTGTGTCTTGTTTAAAAAATTTGGATCCAAACGATCTTACTTTACGACAAAATCTTTTTTCAAACGTCGTGTTACATGAAAATGGATAACGCTAGGCTCATGAATGTGACGCATGCGAGAGTACGTGCGCGAAAATAATTGATTGATTAAGAGCATTCACCTGAAAATATTTTGTATCCGATTAATAAATGTTTCAAAATATCACTTCTATCCTACGTCAAACCGTACACCGAAAATTTCTGAAAAACAAAAAAAAAAATATTTACATTTTTGGTATACGAATGCAATGGCGCTATTCTAAGCTTTCGCCGCTAGATGGCGAGTACCAATATTTCAGTGAAACTGCAAGTGGGTAAGTGAAACTAGTTGTATAATTCAAAGCAGAGTTCACTGTTTCCATCGGTAAATTTTCATTTATTTAATAAGATTTTCGCTCGATCAAAGTATATTTGTCAAGTATATTTTGATGAAAAAATATTCATTTTACCACGAGTGGACGTTCTCTCTCCACTGAGGGTGGAAACTGATTCATTTTTAATTCATTTTTTACTTGTTCTGCCCTTTCTCCGGTCATCAAATGAATCAGGACCACTCCGAGCGAAAAAACGTCCACTTTGATATTATACTTGTTCGTTTTTAATTCCGGTGCCTGGTAAGGTGGTGTTCCGACGTCGGGTGTTCTCCTCCCATTTTTTTCTACTTTGGTAGCTAACCCAAAATCAGCCAATTTTATTATCCCACTATCTGCCACTAAAACATTTGCAGGCTGAAAGACTAATGAATGCCTTACTGCATTCATTAGTTGCCGGAACCAATTTAATACTTTAATGTTATCTGTTTCATTATTTCGATTCAACTATATGCATAAATTTTCAACACCACAGAATTCCATTTTTATACACAAATAAAAATTGTTTCGTAGTTTTCTTGACGTAGAAAATCGTTTAGCAATGGAATTGCTTACTGTCTCAGACCTACTTTCATAGAATTTGATTACGTTTTCATGCTTGAAGTCTTTCAACGCTTGCACCTCTCTTTGCATTAATATATTGCTTCGATCATGGGTATCCTTAATTCTACATGATTAAACAGATTATTAAAAAAATATTCAGTAGTATACATTTTTTTACGACTAACTTTATATCGATTTTTATACATTTTGTAGCATAGTTCTCTTCCCTTTTTTCCCGGTCTTGTACGGCCATAACTTTGCCAAACTTACCCTGTCCGAGTACGCTAATTTCTAGATAATTTTCTGTTTTTATTATTTTATCCGAGAGTGCAGGTGCGAAAAAATTCACCGACACAGAGCTTTGTACTAAAAATGTGTTTTATCCTATTAAAATTGAATAGAAATTCTATGAATGTTTCAAAGAACCACTTCAAAACTACGTCAAAACCGTTGAAACGAAAATGTCCAAAAAATTGAAAAAAACATTTACATTTTTTGGTATGCGAATATACAATAACGCTACTCTAAGCTTTTACCGCTAGATGGCGAGTACCAATATTTCAGTAAAACTGCAAGTGGCTAAGTAAAACTAATTGGATAAGTCAAGGCAGGGTTTTTTTTCCAATGCACAATCTGGTTAAAGAACCCGTTTGGTTATAATAAGAAAGCGTCGGTAAATTTGTTCCAAATGTAAAAATAAAAAAATTATGTCATCGTGGCTCGAGAAGTACATACGAAAAAAAAAAAGGAGAAGTTCGATCTTTGTGGCAGCACTTGTACTTACGTTCTACAGATTTATATTTGATCGCCGTGCACAATTACACGTTCGTCTACAAATCAATATCGAGCGTCGATCAACGCCTTCCAAAATTTCGAATCTCGCTGTGTGTCGCACGACTATGTTTACATAATCGCTTAATTAGGCACTCGATTCGATCGAGAGTGCGAAATGTGAGAGAGGCGGCCAGTAGCGATTTTCGTGTCGTTGAGTACACACACCGATTTATTCTCACGACGCGTTAAACTTTTGAAAGCAAATTACCGTCCGTGTCCGAGCGCGAGTTCACTTACAGAACGCAAAAACGGTATAACGAGTTCGAACATATGGAGGACTGTATTGGCAAATTGAAGAGCTTGCGCGAAGGCGTCAATTTCAAGAGCAAAAGAGAGCGAGTCGAACTTGTCGAGCAACTTTACGACTTGATCGAAGATTGGAAGGGTCAACTTCCCAACCTACGGGACATCTTTCGGCCCGTAGAAATTGACTGGCTTATTGCAGAGTCATTGAAAATAACTATCAATCAGTGGGATGGTAATACAAAGTGGAACGATAATCTCTTCGACTTTGTGGTCAAGAGCGGCTACAAAGACATGCCAATATTTGATGAAAATGGCAAGGTATCGTTGCGTCGCACCACACCAGTTCATTGTGCAAAATATTACCCCCCCAACATCACGTACGAGCTATTAAAAATTTACGGCCCTTTTTCAAGAAATTATACCGATAAGTCCGGCTACACGTATTTTCACGCGGCATCCATATGTGGCGATGAGAAGCTCGTCGAGAATTTACTCGGCAGTCATGATCCCAACTGTATCTGGCGAAAAACGGGCGAGTCGCCGCTGCACTTGGCTTTGGACCGTTATTACGATACCATAGTCAAATTGCTGCTGAGAGGAGGCGCCTGTCCGAATTTGGCCGACAAAAAAGGATTCACTCCTCTGCACATCTTATGCCAGAAAGTCCACGGTGATGACATGGCCGAGATGTTCTTCAAGATCGTCGACGAAAAAAATCAGTTGGTGCCGATCGACGCCCGAGACAAGTTGGGCAGGACACCGCTTCAATTGGCCGTGGCGAAGCTTTTACCGAAGACCGTCGATTTACTCATCAATCGTGGCGCTGATCTGTCTAACTTCGTTTTTCCCACCGAGAATGATTTCTACGAGTTTAATAAATACAATACACATGGTAAAATGAAATTAGCGTCAGGTCTACTGGTTGTCGTGGAACGTCTAGAGAAGAGAGGATACGCACTGGACCGGAGCGACGCCTTGGTCGTCATGAAATTTTTCGCCGAGCACAAATTGTTCGCGACGAAGTCAATGGAGCTCGTCGACGAACGTTGGTACGACGACGAGGATTTCGCGAGATGGTCGAAGGATATGATCGTTTTACCGAACGCGCGTAATTATCTTGACCCCGACCGCGAGTATCCGAGAGAAACGAGAACGGCAACGACGATGAGTCCGAGTCTGCGGTTCCATGACCTCGTTCGTATGCCAATCGAAGAGGCGATAAAACTACCCACATACTACTACGAGGTTGCGAGCTGGTGCCATGATATGAATCAACTCTCTAAAAAGCTTCGTCAAGCTTGTACTATGCATCTGTGCGAGAGGATGTCGAGAGGATTTTTCCGGGGCTGGGCACTGGATTGTTTCTGGGAGCTGATAAACGGTCGACTGCCGATTCTCTGCTGCGAAATTATCATCAAGAAGTTAAAAAACGAGGATTTGTTTAGCGTTTGTCTGGCGGTCATGGGCCAAAGCTCTTAAATGTGATCTGCTTATTTGCAATATTTTTTGATGTTTTTTCTTATTAAATGTTTCTTTTTATAAAATATTTTCTACATTTTAAAAAAATACAGTTTTGATTTTCTAAACAAAGCACACACACACACACACGATTGTTAAAAATCTCATATCCACCGAAGAAAGAAAATTCTCATCTTTTTTTCTCCATCTCCCCTCCGTATACGCGCACAGATCCACGACTGGGACTTTTACAAGCAGTCGCTCGTCGTCTCGTCCTTCTACTGGGGCTACACCGTCGCCATGATACCCTGCGGCTACCTGGCCAGCGCCTGGAGTCCGCGCAAGGCCCTCTTCTGGGGCCTCGGTCTCAGCGGCCTGCTGCACCTGCTGACGCCCCACGTCGCCGACTGGGCCGACTGGATCGGCGTCTGCTGCTGTCGCCTCGTCGTCGGTATGCTGCAGAGCTGTCTGCTCGCCTGCACGCACACCCTCATGTCGCAGTGGTCGCCCATCGTCGAGCGCTCGCTGCTGAGTACGTCGATCGAGGGGACACACACACCCGTGTTGAATCCTTAATTGTCCTATGAAATTATGCTTTTTCGAGTCTTTTTACAGCGGAAAACGTGACTTTGGTATCTTTTATTAGTTAAATTAGTCCAGTCAACCCTTGAACCGACTTATCATTACAAAGCTCTGTGCCGCATGAATCTGAATGAAATCTTTGACCATTCTTGATCCTACGGGTCTTAAAATTTTTGTTATAATATTTTCGTCCACTTCAGAGTAACAGAATATCAAGAAAAAGCTAGAAATTTTTCTTCGTACTAAAATACAACAAGAAATTTCGAAAATTATTTTTTTTAACGCTTATTTCCACTTTTTGGGACTGGTAGATTGAATAAATAATTTAATTAAAAATCTGTCACACTTAAGTGGAAGAGAATTTTATTGCAAACATTTTAAGATCTGTAGGATCAAGAATGGTCAAAGATTTCATTCAGATTCATGCAGCACAGAGCTTTGTAATGATAAGTAAGTTTGGGTGCACATTGGACTTATTTAAATAATAAATGGTGCTAGAGAAATGTTGACATTTCATTTTCATGTTTTTCAATTCATAGAATAATACGGGATTTAACACAGATGTGTCACCTTAATTTATAATTAGAGCCAGATTATAAGCAAAAAAGTCAAAATATGAAAAATAAGTAATTGAAAAATTTGTTATGTCAAGTGATTCTTTTGTTTACATTAGTACAATCATCTGGATGTGGAAAATTGAGCAATAGTTACTGGTGCCCCAGTTAGTGAAAATTTCAAAAATAAACCAAAACATAACATTTCATATTCAACGTATGAATTTGCGCACAATCCAGTATCGATATAAATCATAACGATGATAAAATTAATAATCGTACGTTCGTATAGGCGGGATCGTCAACTGCGGCATGTCGGTGGGCTCGATCGTCGCCACGGCTCTGTCGGGCTACATCGCCACGACCTACCTGGGCTGGCAGGGCATCTTCTACGCGTTCGGCGCGATGAGCTGCTGCACCAGCCTCGCCATATTCCTCTGCGTGCACGACTCGCCGGCCGAGCATCCGCGCATCAGCGCCGAGGAGCGGGACTTCATCGAGGCGGGAAAGACGACGATCAAGCCCGCCGAGAAGGATGCGATCGCGAAGCAGGAGGAAGTCAAGATCGACGTATGCGAGATCGATTAGTAGCGATGAAGGGTAGAATGTAATGAATTTTTTTTTTCTTTGCGATAGAAATTGAAGTTGCCCTGGCTGAAGATACTGACGTCGGTGCCGATGTGGGCCTTGGTCATCGGCCACTCCGGATTCGCTTGGGGCAATTCCATATTCACTCTGCAAGTTCCCCTCTACATGAAGGGCGTACTCTGCTACGACATCGCCGAGGTTCGTACTTTGTATACACAATTTTCACTCGCGATATTTTTTTATACTATCATACACGAGCACAGATCGGCTTGGCCTCGTCGCTGCCCTTCGTCTCGAGCCTGCTGACCCTCTTCCCCGTGAGCTGGCTCGCGGATCACACGATCAAGCGCGGCTACCTGGGGGTCGCCGGGGTGCGCCGCGTCTGGAACAGCCTCGGCACCTGCGTGCCCGCCCTGGCGCTCGTCGTCATCTGCCAGGTCGACGGCTACGACCGGGTCTGGCCGGTGGCGCTGCTCGTGCTCGCCAAGGGCTTCGAGTCGTGCACGGCCAGCGGCTACTTCGTCAATCACATCGATCTCAGCCCGAACTACGCCGGCACCATGATATCCATGACGAATTGCATCGCCTCGGTGGTGACGATGCTCGCGCCCATCGTCGCCGGCGCCATAATCGGCGATTCCGTGAGTAGTTTTTTTCCTTTTTTTCGGTTGACACAAGTTCGATGTATATTATTGTAAGATACTGAAATACTTAATAATCGAGCCGTGAATCAATGCTTGAGGTCTCGTAGGGAGCTTGAAATGAAAATAAATTTTGCTTCCTCATAAAGGAATTAGCTTTGGAATTAGTGTTGTGTCTGATGTCTGTTTGTCTGTACGTATGTGGAACGAGTTTTCTCAATAATAAGACGGTGAATGTTATTGAAATAAACTGCATTTTTTGTTGATTGGGTTGAGGATAAAGCCCGAATAAGTTTTATTTCGATTCGTTTAATATTTTGTAAGCTATAAGAATTTTTAAATTTTTTTTGGAAAATTTATTTATTTTTATTTTTTCAAGAAAGATTATGTGGATTCATTGAAGTTTTTGAGCCCAGATTTCGAAAGATGAGCAGTTAAACTCCAATTAAAAACCAAAAACGTTATGATTCGTCGAGTAATTACATAGTCATATCGTGAAAATTAAAATGTTATTTTTTTATTTTTCAAATTCTTTTTTTAAAACTTTTACAAAGTGAAAGCGGTGTAAGTGGTTGAAATATATGAGTAGTGATTTTACACACAGCACCAAAAATTACAACCCTATACTTTACAAATAAAGAAAACGTGAAATAAAATCTTAAAAACCTTATGAATGGGATGGTTATACATTGTAAAAATGAAAATGTTTTTTTCACGAAAATCAACTTCACGAAACAACGACAACAACTACCAACAAGTAAGAACGATAATTCTTTTACGAGGAAGCTCTTTCCCAATGATCCCTTGAAAAGTGCAGGATGTTTATTACAAAAATAAGTAGTCGATGGCAAGATTTTTTTGCATTTTTGTTCCTCAAATAATTTTACTAATATCGATTAAAAAAGTCATTTTTTCCCATCGTAAAGTATTTTTAAAAGGATTTTTAAATATAAATTAGCAAAATTAGAAATTTCCTCGAGTAGTTAGAATAAAGACAATTTACCCAATAATATATACCGCACAGTAGAATCGAAAGTACATCGGAAATGTTTGTTTTTCTTTGTTTCTCTCATGGACAGGTGGACGCCGAGCCGTGGCACGCAGTATTTTACATTGCCGCCGCCTTTATGGTCCTCACGAATCTGATCTTCACGATATTTTTGCGAGCCGAGACGCAAGAGTGGAACGATCCGAAAGATACTCGAAAAACAGTTGTCTGTTGAGAAAAAAATTACTTCTAAAAAAATCTTTATTGATGTATATAATTTGAATAAGATTCTTTTATTGTATAATGTACATGGATATAAACATTCGAGAAAATTTGAACCTTTTTTATAATAAAAAATAAAACATATAAAAAAAAGATAAAATCGTTAGACCTCGACATTTACAGGTGAGCCAGTTTTCCGTAACTTAATCGTAATAATTTATTTCAGCAGAGCAAGTAAATGATCTACATCATCGAAGTTCAACGTAGTCCAGATAATGTAAGTGTTATCGACATACCTCATAATAGCAATCATATTGAATTGTCCGCTATAGGACTTCAGATCCTCATTATCGATTCAAAAAATTTTTTTTTTGGCATTGGCTAATTTTAGTATGAATTTATTTTTTATCCATATGAAAAAGCGAATAAATAATTATGTAAATAAACATTGTAACAGAATAAGAATAATGTATTGACAGAGTTCTGGAAACCGAAAAAATTAAGAATATCTACACAATGTTAAAAGTGAAAAATTAACGTAATTAAGTCAAACGTACACATGTGCATTAAAAAAGAACTCAATTGTCTTTCTTTTTTCTTTTCATTGATCAGCGCTAATTAATGCGGATTGACCCAAAAGAGATCTACTATAATGAAGGTCATGCAAGATCATGGCTTAAAAAAAAGACTATCGAATTTTTAATGAATCACTTGAATAATTGAACGAGTGTCGAGACTTTTTGTGGGGGCTTTTTCAAGAATATAAAATCAAGGCAAAAAGAAGTCGTAATTCAGTTTAGTTTCGGCGATCCACGAACTGAGACAGCAGCATACGATATCAACCACGGCGATGTCGACCCTCGCGACGTCGTTTGTCGCGATCGTCGCGTTCCTCAACGGCATTATTTTACTCGGCTCGATTTCACCCGTCTCGGCCTATCGGAGTTTTTCGTTCGAACGCGAGCTTGGCAAATATTTCCTAACGATCAGTCCGAGTGCCGTCGAAAATAGCACCGTCTATTACGCCGCGTGTGCCGACGGGGGTGGGGAACCTCGACTAGATTGTGTGCTATACCGTGTGAAGGGAGATTTCTCAGGTGGCAGCCCGAAGGAGGACAAGTGCAACATTACGATGCAGTCCGAATTCGGCGGCGTGATCGTGTTGGGATTCACTAGAATCGATCCGCTTGGCAGGGATCGAGCGATTGTGCGTTGGGCCGAGCAAGGAGGAGACACGGGGTGGGACAACTATAGTTTCCGACTCAGCATTGTCGATTTTTCAAATTGCAAAGTCACAACCACCAAAAGTTCGCGAGATCTCGATCATTTTTTGAACGGAGGTTATCTCATTGGTTCAAGAGATGTAGATGGCTTTTATACCATGCATTATCAAGGTTTCTATCCGTCAAGAACAGATTTTAACTGGCCGATGTATCAGAAAGGAGAAGATGATTTTGAAATTGTGTCAATTGTCTACGGTGAAAAGTCATTCTCAAATACCTCGATGCGCGAGTATGTGGAAGTTCTTACAGCATCGATCGATGCCGACGGAGTTATTGCAAAGATCAGCACGTTGATTCCTCCAACACTGACCGGTTTTACACCGACCAGAGTGCTGATTTATCCATTGTGGAAGGATCAAGGCTATTTGTACATGACAAGCGAGATCCCAGCATATCTGTACAATCGTGCATGCTGCGGCACTATGACTGTGGCACTTATCCAGCCCAATGGTAATTGCTAAAGAAAAGAATAGGTGTTCTGATTTTCCCTACTTGAATGAATGCTAATGAAGGTAAATATTTTATGTTTTCAGGTCAAAGGCGTAATTTGACTCACTTGCAGGATGTTTACACCGTAGCTACAGCTACGGTCTCGTTGGCCCACGGAATGATCGGCATATGCGCCCGACAGAACTTGACAACGATGCAATGCACGCAGTTCAGGCTCGACGACCGAGAGATCAGATGGTTTCCGGTCAGCCTCTACATGGAAGATCGAAGGAACGATCTTGAGATTAGACGAGCCATCTACAACTTGCCGAGGGGCGAAGGATTTCTGACTCAAATCGTTCGAAATCGCGAACGAAATGTCTATGAAAAAATAACTGACAAGTATCTGCTGAAAATAGGTCCGGATGGAAAAGTCAAACAGTTCTTGGATCCCGACATGTTCTGTCGGGGCAGACAAGTTATAGCCGGTATGAATCAAATTTTCGAAGACGATCGGGGCAATTATTGCGTGAGCACCATGTGCGTGCGATTTATCTACAAAAACTTTTTCGGCCGAGAACCTCATTTTGTAAAACTACAATCGAAGTGTTTCGAACCGGAAGAGTTTAAAAATGTTTCCAAGTACGAGGTGATTGCAGAATACGAGAATGGTTACCCAAGAAAAGATGAAGACTTAAACGATGGCCTAATCAACTATGATCTTCTCATCGAATAATAAATTTATAAGACACTCGTCGAATAATAAATTACTTATAGTTCTGGATTTGCATGCGATTAAAGCAGTTATTGACTACGCCAATGTTTAATTTTTTCTCTTTAGAGCATTTAAAATCGTATTTTGGCGCCGGATGAGATAATGATATTCATAATTTGAGAGCTGCTGTCGTAGCGGACAGTATTCATTTTTGCACGAAAATTGACATAATCAAATTTCCATAAAAAACGTCATGTAGTTTTAGACGTGAGTGACGATTTGGATCACAAATATCATTTCTACTCAATCAGTAATCTAATTAATTAAAATGTCTGTTTGATTGTTTTTTTTTACAATAAATTTGAAAAAAATAATATTTTTTACGTATATTCAACCTATGTATTGCGCACCGAACTTATTTTTTCCAGCGCTTCTGTAGACGAAAAACCGAAGTTTAAGCTTTCGCAATGAACTTCATCATAAACTAATTATCGTTCGTATTTTCCTCTGTTTGCCCAAACAAGTCTGCTCTAATTCCAAATTTTTTCTCGCACGTGTCGTATGTATGATCTTTACGACCTTCGTGTACTATCTTTTGGTGGTAGAGCAAACTCATTTTTTGTGTAAATTTCATAAATTGCGTTTTTGGTTGAAGCACCAAAGGGCAAAATTTGTTGTTTGTCGCCTGAAACATCTTCAGAGTTAATTTCCTCGGATTTCTTATCACTTTTATCCATTTTAGTGCCTCAAATAAACGACGGATTTTTCTGTTTAGGGAATTGAATGAGGTAAATTTATCTTACAATGTTACGGTTTGATTTTCATACTAATTTTATTATAAACATGATTAGTATATGTCGAGGCAATTTGTCAAAATAATTCATTATCATACTGTTTACAATTAAGTTACTAATTTAGTAACTTAATCAGAATTTATCGGTGTATACATATTTTCCTTACAATATTTGAACCAATTTAAAATTCTTACTTGGTGAAAATTCCTTCGAGAAAATTCCAAAAGAAGATTTCAAAGTCTCAAAAGACAATATCGATTTCACACCGAAAACATTGAGTTAATATATCTTGACATATATGTTAATAATTTCAATATTCACTCCAAAATTTGCCCTTACGCCATGGCGTGATTGGTGTACTCCATAACCCGCGACTGTTGACCTTACAAAGACATATAATGCGTTGGACTGATTATATTTATGAATTGTAGATGCGATCGTCTTATGCACTGTGAAAAAAGTTTACCCCAAGATCATCTTAATTTCTGCTGGCAATTGTTGCGTGAGAAATCTCTACGACTTTTGTGGACTGTCAATTGGTGTTTAAGCATATTCGATTTTAGTCCAAATTTCCTCTCGCAATAGTCACATGCGAAATCTTTGCTACCTGCGTGGACAATTTTTTGATGTTTTATTAAATTGCCGTGAATCCCAAATTTCTTGTCGCATTGGTCACAAGCGTAATCTTGGCGACCGTCGTGTACTGTCTTTTGATGGCAGAGCAAATGCGGTTTTTGAGCAAATTTCTTTTCACACTTGTTACATGCGTAATCTTTGCGTCCTTCATGGACTGACTTATTGTGCCTAGTCAGATCGTGTATGTCCCTAAATTTTTTCTCGCACTTTTCGCATGGATAATCATTGCGACCTTCATGAACTCTTCTTTGGTGCTTCAACAAATCTGATTTTCGTCCGAATGTTTTTTCGCATTTGTTGCACGCATAGTCTTTACTTCCTTGATGGATTATTTTTTGATGAAAAAGTAAAGTCGATTTATGTCCAAATTTTTTCTCGCAATTATAACATTCGTAATCTTTGCGACCTTCGTGAACTATTTTTTGGTGGCTCAGCAAATTTCTCGGGTCATTAAATTTCTTCTCACACTTGTCGCATGCGTAGTCTTTGTGACTTTTGTGTACTGATATTTGGTGTCTACTTAAAAGATATCGGAACTCGAATTTTTTTTCGCACTCGTCACATGCGAAATCTTTGCTGTAGATGTAATCTTTATAACCCTCATGGACTGTTTTTATGTGCAAAAGTAAATTTTGTTTATTTCCAAATCTTTTCGCACACTTTTCACATAAGTGATCTTTGAAAACTTCGTGGAATATTTTGTTGTGCTTGAGTAAAGTTGATTTATTATCAAATTTTCTCTCGCACTTGTTGCACATGAAATCTTTGCAATCTTTGTGTACTAATTTTTGATGTGTAAACAAACTCGATTTTCTCACAAATTTCTTGTCGCATTTGTCGCAAGCAAAATCTTTGCTGCTTTTGTGTTCTGATATTTGGTGTCTACTCAAATGACTTCGGAACTTGAATTTCTTTTCGCACTTGTCGCATGCGTAATCTTTTTCCTCATCCTTAATTGTGTCTCTGTTTAGCTGTGATATCATGCTTGATTCTTGTGTAAATGCCTCCTGGCAAATATCACAAACGTATTTTTTGTCGTCTGAAACAACAATGTCGTGTTTATTTGAATTATTTTCCGAAACAACTATCTTGGACTTTTGTCACTTTTATCCTTTCGATATATTCCACGGAAATGAATAACATTCAAACTAATTTGTTTTCACTGTAAACATGATCAGTGTAACGAAGAACTAAGTCGAAATCGTTTCTGATCATATTGTTTACAATTAAGTTCACCGGTTCATCTGTTTTTACATTGTTCTTACAACACTTGAAAC